CAATTTATAATGGAAGATGGTTTTGTGGTCTTTTTTTTTTTTTTTTCTCTGTTTGGGTTCATTTAAAAAATAAAAAAAACTTTTAAAAAAAGAAGCGACGGGTCGAAACTAATCAAGGAGAGAAGCAACCTAGAACTAAGGAGAAATTTCCTGACAGTGAGAATAATACAAATTACAATACAAATACAATAGCAGAGTTGGAAGGGGCCTTGGAGGAAATCTTGTTATTATCCACTTTTAATGTAAACACTTTTAATTATATTTTAATGTTAGTATTTTTAATATAGTGTAAAGACAAATGTATATTGCTGGTCTTTGACCGTAATAAAGATCTTACTTACTTACAGTGTATAAGACATACCCAGATTTTCACCCTCTTTTTGGGGGGAAAAAGGTGTGTCTTATACTTTGAAAAATACGGTAAATGAATGCATTTAGAACCCTCTCAACGCTCAATGGTTCTACATGCCCCTCTTCTTACCTGGGGGGTGAGTATTATTTGCAGGGGAGCATCAGGGACCACCACAAAGAGCCTGATCAGCTGAGCGTAGTGCGGCTTAAGTCCCCTCCCTGGGTTGGACGATAGGATGTAAAGGGGCATGTCGGAATTGAGAGCTTTGACGGCTGATTCTTTAGGCCCTCCGCCCATCACTTTCATGATCTTCTCCGGTCCCGAACACATGAACCTTCTCCCTCGGGCATCTTCGTATTCGTAACCCACAAAAGCCCGAGCCACGTCGTCCCGCCGCCTTCCTCGGCCCATGACCACGGCGCTCCGTTTCCCCGGAATGGCCTTGTTAGGAGCGGGCCAGGAATTGGTATCCAGGTCGCCCTCTTCGTCCGTCCGCGTCCGGATGACGATGTCCCAGGGCATTAAGTAGTTGGTGCCCAGAATGAAACCCTGTTGATCCAAGCCGGCGTGGAAATTGTAGGCTTTGGCGGGGCCGAGCTTCACCAGAGACCAGCTGGAGAAGGTGGGAAGAAGACCCTTGGGGCAATTGGAGTGAAGCATCCCGGGCAGGTATTCCACTGTGGAAGGTTGCCGATCCACCAAGCTGGCTCTCTTTTCCCCTTTCGCTTCGGACGCTGCGCCATGAGCTTCTGTGTTGTTGCCGCCACCCTGTGGATCCGCAGGGTAGGTCCCTAAACTATCTGTGGATTGATCCAGACTGAGAGCTAAGCTGAGGCTGGTGCTTTCCCCCTGAGTTTGGGGCTCCTTCTCCTTCAGCTTCTCGGCTTCCCCTTCGGGAGGGCTGGGGGAGGCCTCGTTCTTGGCCGGAGCTGGATCTGGCGTACTGGGCTGAAAAACGGGGAAGTTGATATGCTCCAGCTTGCCGCAACATTTCTCTTCCAGCAGCTGTAACGGAAAGGAAAAAAAGAGAGCGGTAGCATGAAGGATGAGGCAGGTTTCAAACATACTAGGACTGTGATGGGGGGTTCCACCACAAAACCACGTTCGACTAAACCACGCCCGACTAAACCGCATCGCTGACATCATCAACAGGGCGACAACAGCGCGGAGACAGAAGCACGCTGTAAACCCTGAA